TTTTCGGATAAATGGAGTAGTAATAATGAGCTCAAATTCACTGATTTCAAGTGATGGAAAATGATTGTGGATGTAAGAAATCTATAATGAATGGGCCAGAAACATTCAGAGAGGGGGAAAAAAAGTAAGTTAGTAACTTTCATAAGTACGTTAACCTCAGGCAAGCAGAAAAATACCGTTCAGTGTACCTATATACAAATAAGTAGATCATTGGTATATAGTATCAGGAATGGGGGAATGGGGTTTAGCCACTGGTAACCAGGGATTTAGCCAACACTTGGTTCATATGAAATCCTGGTCAAAATTGTTTTCTCTCTTACCTAGGATCAGTTTATATTTTCTAGTATCTGCAGGCTTTTTCACATCGTCATGTACACTTAAGAATTCACTAGAGGTGCTCCTCATGTTTAACTAGCAAAACGATTTCTTTATTAGTTGCTTTACAAATGATTCACCCAGATATTCAGACTAACCCTAGGCTTACTTGTTTTTCTTTCTCATAAAAGCAGGTGGAAAAGAGATGAAAGAAGCAAAAACCAAGAGGGAGTTTAGGGATTTTATGTAGGCAGATAAGAAAATATAGCCGGCTCAAGGTTCAAAGGGGTAAGATACTATTATAAAATAAATAAGTAGCAATTTGTAGAGATTGGCATTTGTAGAGATTCTCCCTAGGTGACACTAGTGAGTGGCATTCATACCACACTCCTGTAATGAAGAAGTTTCTGATCGCCTATTTTTTATCGTCATATATAGAATTATTGTTAAGTTCTGTTTGCCCTAGAATAAAGATCTTGGGAACGATATCATTATTAATAATAGCTATCACTTATGGAGCACGAACAATGGGCTATATAAAAAAATTAACAAGTTTAATCCTTACATCAACCATGTGATAATTGTCATTATCCCCATTTTACATATGAAGAATTGAGAATGAGAATGCCTACTATGATAATAAGTGGGAAAGCCAGGCTTTAACCAAAGTCTGTTTGATACCAAAGCCTGTGTACTTCACCACTATTACTGTACTACTGAGGACAGATCAATACCGCCAATTCATTCACCATAAATGCTTCCGACAATGAAAGGTTGGGGAGGAGGGTTGTAGTTTATTCTCAATCTCTGGGATGTCAAAGTGGCCTCAAACCATTTCTGTTTAAATGAGTCCCACCAAAAAAATCCTAGTTTGTACTGGGTGGCCTGTTGACAATCCGGCCACACTGACCTCACCTTGGCTGGCCAATGCTCTCCCATAGGTCCGGCGTCTTTCTCCTCCATGTACACCCCTGAGTCCATTGGGCTGGAAAACCTCCCAGCCTTGAGGCAGAATGCAGCAGTTCAGATAGTAAATTTTATTAAAATGTCTTGTCATCACAGTCCCATTTTAATAGTTTGGAATACCCAAACTCAAATGAAGTTGTTCTATTCCTCTTTGAACCTGTATGACTCTCATTAAACCTTTTTTTTTTTTAATGATTATTTTCTTTATATGAAAAGAAATATAAATCATGCTGGATCTCCAAGAATTTGTCTCTTATCAAAGTCTGGAAGCTTAATTTAAACTACCCATTACAAAAGAGAGGGAGAAACACCATTCCAGTTTTAATAGTCCTATAGATACATGTTAATTATAAATTTCCAAAATGACCTTTGATGACACCCATCCCCACTGTAAATGGTCATATAACTGATCAGTAGTTATATCAGAGTTTCAGAACCAGTGTTGTGCTCTCAGGGAGCTGCAGGGTTAAGAAAATTTGTGATGATAAGAAACGTAGGGAAGTCCTTTAAATTTTCGAAGAAAGTTACCAAGGATAAAACAGATACGCCAGTATCCCACCAAAAGTATAGCCTTCACCCCTCTCTCACCCCACAGTAAAATATGATGGTGGTGACTTGGTCTCAAGAAAATAAAAAGACACCTGAAACTAATACAAAAAAGAAACTTTCTGGTACAGTTAGCATTTTAGGCCTTACGGAGAACATATTGTAATGGAAGCACATTGCATTTAAAAAAAAAAAATATATATATATATATATATCATTGGGGCTAAATGCACTTCTCATTTCTTCTAAAATGTTACTTGCTAGAATGCCATCTGAAAACCTTCTGCCTTCAGTGCTGTCCATGATGAACTAGGCAATAATCACTATGTTGCTGTATTAAGACTGTCCCTCCTTTCCTGACCCATTTAATCCATTTCCAAATGGTCTCTCTCCCCTTCTATCCAGGGGAGAGAGACAAGCACATAGTTGTACCTGAGTTCACACAGGAATGCACCTAGTTTCCCTTTCTCAATGATTATGTAAAAGAAGAAGCAAAAAAAAAAAAAACTTCCTAAACATCAGCTTATCAAAATTATGTTTATTTCCAAGTATCTATGGAGATGCCAGAGGAGCTTGTTTGAAGACATTTTTGTTCTAGATGAAATGCATCCGGTATCTTTTATGACAAAAGAATGTCATAACTAGATAATCCCTATCTGCCAGAAGCCCCAGGTCCTGGCCAATCTCAGAGCTACATGAGTCCTCCTGCACCAAGGATACTCCAAATTTCTGAGGTTTTTAATAAAAGAACTTAGGATAAAGTGTAAAAGTGGCAGAATTTGAATTGCCCTTTATGTTTCGAATGGAATTATTAGAATCTTAAGTGATAACTATTGCTTAAGGCTTTTTTCTCCACTTACAAAAAGGCTCCAGAGAACAGCAGCAAATTGCTTTTTTTCGCCTGGAAACTTTCAAATTTTTATCCTTTTTAAAATGTAGAGCATTTTTTAAAACCTAAGTATACTTCTGGTTCCAAAAGTTTGAGCATTTAAGCATTTTTAGTAGTCGACACTCAAAGTACCAGAAAAAGTATGGAAATCAAGAACTGCATTGTGTGTATCTTAGCAAGTTTATTACCTTATCTCAGCACACTTTCTATGAAGGCTAAACGGGCCTTTTTAGTCTGTCACCTGCTTTATGCATAGTTATTTTGTTTAATGGAGCCCAATCCTAGCTTTGCCTTATAAAAGAAACTATTGGGTTGTCAGAAAAGTCATGACATATTTTGCTATGTTTTTCATTGCAAAAATGCGTCATGACTTTTCCGACAACCCAATAGATAGGAGCCGGTCCAGCCATTGTCTTAGGTATAGGTAAACCTACTAAATAACAGGTAGAAAATGCTAGGTAACTTCTCTGGTTATAGTTGCCTTCACATAGAAACAAACCCTTCTTCGTCTAAGACAGTAAGTTCTTGACTACCAATCTACATCTTTGTCCTATGTTTGTAAAATCCTATCATCTATTTGTTGTTATTTTCCTGCTTAAATGTAGAATAAGATGAAATATTAAACAACTTGTATACCTTTTCTACAGTAGCATAGAAGAAGGCAAAACAGTGGTTAGGACGAGTGAGAATTACACTGATGTTCCCCTCGGAAACTGAGACTTAGAAAGGTTAAGTTTGAATCACCTAAACATATGAACCAATCTCTTTCCTTCTCTCCCACTGAAGCTTCAAGAGCCACTGTGTTTGACAAAGGAAGAGAAATAATGGTCTCCCCTTAACCATAGCACAGGGAAGGAAATGAGGTCTATGACAGGCCATCTGTAAAATGGTGATAATACCAGTGCTTACTCATAGGCTTGATGTGATGATTAAATGAGAACAATGCCTGATATAGCGTTAAGTGCTCCATAGGTATCATTGAGACTGTGAAGGAGGCTGGCTCAGAACACTGAAACAAAAACCTGGAACCTGCCATTTGTGTATATCATAAATTGTGTTTACAGTGTCTTAAGTAATTTGAGAAATGATTCCTTGGAGAAGTGTCCAGCAAGCTATTAAGCAGTGTCTATACATATTAAAGATGAACCAAAGGTTTCCCTGAGAATGTTAAATCACCTATCCCTGTCATTTGGTCAAAATTTCCATGGGGCCATATGATTCACTCTGTATCATAGGGCAGAAGGCACACCAAGAAACTGAAGTTCCAGAAAGCTTGTTAGCATTTTGGCAAACATGGTTGTAACTTCTGGGCTTTGCACACTAGGGTTTTTATACCAACACATATGTACTTCTTGGTGTAAGAATGTCCAAGGCTCATTTTCAGGTCAGTAGTTATTAAGATCCTTGCAGCAGCTTATATAGTTTTATTGCATCAGTTTCCCAAACAGTACTTTAGGCCTGATATCTATCCAATACCTGCCCATATCACAGAATGGTTGTATAAGTTATTTTCATCAACAGCAAAAGGATATACAGTGCATCTGTGTACACTTACAGTTGGCTGGGAACTATAGAAAAAAACCTGAAACGGACATAGTCCTCTTCCCAGTTTGTAATCCTAGAGTTAATATGTGCAAGTATGCATATGATATACCAATAATTCATTGAACATGAAAGAGAATCATAAACTACAAATACAAGGAAACAAATACTTATTAAATACCTTCTTCATAACATGTACACTCAGTAGTTTTATGAAGGAGGCATTATCATCACAGTTCTACAGATGAAGTTACTATGGCCCTGATCATTTAAGTAACTTGCCCAAAGTTACACAGCTAGTTACACAGACTTGGGACTGGAGCCCAGATTCTTTGACTCCAGTCTGCATACCAGTTCTGTCCCCTACACCATGCTGCCTGATAATTTTATTTTTGAAAAAAAATGCAAAAGAAGGTTATATTTTTGGTGGACTTACAACTGAAGAGGGAATAAAGCGTAGAACCAAAGACAGCCAATGTAAAGGTGAAAAACCACTCAGTGGAAATCACTAATCACAATATGTGCTGCCAGCTTGGTAGATGCAGACATTGAAACATGAACCCCACGTGCATTGGACTCAACAAGTTCTTTGTGAATCGTGGTTGATTTGACTGGGTTGAGGTGTGTGGGAGGGTTTTGGAATCTTTTGAGTTGGTTGAATGTTGTGAACTCTTCTCTCCCTGAAGAATCCGAGGCAGTTGTTGACACCAAAATGGAGAACAATCCCACCTCCTCAAAACTGCAGAAGATACAAGAGAAACAGAAACTGATCAAAGAGCCAGATTCCGGAGTGCCTGTGGTTCTCATTACAACCCTCCTAGTTATTCCGGTGGTTGTCCTGCTGGCCATTGTCATATTTATTCGGTGGAAAAAATCAAGGGCCTTTGGAGGCAAGTGAAACGAGCCCCTTGAACTTGGAACCCACTTTTGAAAGAGTGTTTTTGGTCTTTTTACCCTCAAAGTTTAGTTGTGATATTTTTTTCAGTTTTTTTTTTTTTAAGTGCTCACTACCTTTTTCAACAATATTGTCTATGTTCCAAATATTGTCTGTAGTTAATTTCACCGTAGAAAATACGTCTGCAGCCTCAGAAATTTGGATAGTTAAAATTATAATCTTTACTATTGCCTTGTAGCAACTGGCTTAAGCCCAATTAATGTCTCCATATGAAACTATATAGATAAGTAGAGTCAGGGTAAATTTGCTGAAGAGTCAGGAAGGAGGTGAAACCTGCTGTTAGAAACAGGCTCAGTTCTCAAAATAGTGCAGTCATTTACTATATTTCCCCATGTATAAGACGCACCCTTTTTCGAAAAATTTGGGGCCTAAAAACTGGGTGCATTTTACACAGTGGTTGTATGAGCGCAAAAACAAGTGCGAAAAAAGCGGGAAATGCAAGTAAAAAAATATCTACAACCACTGTATAAGACGCACCCAGTTTTTAGACCCCAAATTTTTCAAAAAAGGGTGCATCTTATACATGGGGAAATACGGTATTTGGGAGTGTATTTCCCCCCTCAGTCCTGGCTCTAGCTCTTAGCTGCATGACCTTGGGCAAGTTACTTAATCTCTCTAAACAACAGTTTCCTCACTTATAAAGTGGGAATAAAAGACTAGATTTTGCAAGGATTAAAAAATAATGTACATAAAGCATTTATTACAGTAACCTGGTACGTAGTAAGTGCTTATTGTTCATCCCACCAATGATTATGAGGAATAATCATTGGTAATAAAGAAGTAAAAGTCATAAGAAGTCAAAAAGGATAATTGTCTTAAACCTCAGCATTCTCAGGAAACCAACTATTTTTATAACAAACCATTTGGTAGTTTTTTAAATAGTCAGAATATAGACCATCCCTAAGCTAACAAGGCAAGGTTCAATACTGGAGTCAGTATTCTATCAAGTCAGTAAATAGTATAGAATCCAGGAGCTGAGTTCCTTTTGGACATCCCAAGAAATAAATAATCCGACTCGTGATTCTCAGCTCTCAAAAGCAGTCCATTGGTTGGGTCCCCAGGTCCTAAGGCAAGAGTCCACAGCCGTGTCTGGGAAGGAATCCATGGACCAGGGTGGGAGGCAGCATTTGATCAAGAAACAGCATCTGATTCTATGTCAGGACACGGCGGCCATGGCAGGGATTCCGTGCCCATGGCAGAGCCCTGACACAGAAACAAATACCAGAGGAGTCCATTTAATAGGCTGTGAAAGGGAATTTTTCTAACACTTTTTTACTTTTTATCTGCAATCAATAAAGCTCTGCACAAATGCAGTTAACTCTTTCTACAAAAGACTTCTGTTGCGCCCCTGTTATGGGTAGGGAACTGTGGTATGCGGGGCCAAAGATCAATAAACTTAGTCACTGTCTTCATGGATTTAGATGGTAGCTTCAAAAGACCAAGAGTCTTGTATGTTTACTTGTTTACTGACATATCCCAGCACAAATAATAGTTCCTGGCACTAGGGGTTCAATAAAGAATTGTTGGAAGAAATAAATGGAACTCACAGAACAGATGACACATAAAAAAGATGACACATAAGAAAGAGATGACACATAAAAGTAATAATCAAGGGTGGGAAGTGCATTGATAAATACTTACCAGGAGTATCAGGAGGGGCAGGTAGCAGGAATGTTGGTGGTCAGCCCACCCTGGAGGAAGGAATGGGTGGGGAGGTGAGAAGGCCTGGTCTCCCCCTGATTGTTGCAAAGCTCATGTAACATGGCTGAGTCCACAGGAATATGTCAGGAAATCAGAGGCCCAGTTTGAACAAATGAAATGACCATTGTTCAATCACATTTTATTTAGAAAAATTGCAGTTTTATAGGGTTCACCCTAACACATTTTTAATTCTAAAATGGAGATGAGCCTCTCATGTTTTTTCAACACTTGTTCTTGATAGATCTTATCCAATCCATGAGGGTTTTTAGTACCCCTCATAAAGGACCTTCTGTTTATTCAGTACACCCTTATTGCATGGTAGCTCCACATCAGACACTTTGCTAGGCTCAGAGGATGCAAAACCAATTAAGGACTGTCCCACATCCTTGCAGAACTTGTAGTCTAATTTGTTGCCTTTCTAATAGTCTTATCAGACTCTTCTGCCCTTCTTGTCTATTCCCTCCTCACCCACAATTCTAGCTTTCCTCTGTCATCTGCCTGTTAATTTCCTCCATGATGCTGCCTCCATTCCTGCTTAGAGATGGCATAGGAGAACCCCCGAGCCTCACTTCCCTGACCATGGCCTTACGGAGTGGTGGAAGCCAGGGCAGAGCGGGCAGGGAGATACACAGCGACAGAAAAACTGAAGTCCAGCAGGAGTTCTGCCTGCCCATTAGGAAAGAAAGTCGATCCTTCATGGAGATGGGAAGCCCCATGGACAGCATCTCGGTCACCTTGTATGGTTGAAAATAGTCAGGGTTTCAGGTCCTTTGTCTTCATTTAAGTCTTATATAGGGAAATGATGTATACGGGTCCAAAGCTTTCCCAAGCAGGACATGTACTGTTCTTCATAGAAAGACTAAAGCCTAAGACAGAACTTCCAAATTTTTATAAATGATTGGTAATTTAATTTTGTCCTAATAAAAATTATTGAGCGCTTACTGTATACTTACAAGGCACTGTTATAAGCATATCGCATGCCGTATCCCATCTAAACTTTACAGATAGGGAGAGATGGTCATTGATCCCTCCTTTCTCAGAAGAGAACACTGAGGCTCAGAGAAGTAATTTATCAAGCTCGCACAGCCAGTAAGAGGCACAGGCAGGAGTCTAACCCAGCTCTGGCCCTTATGTACAGCATAATAATATATTATCTTTTTTTTCCTTGGAATTGCATACAGAGAAGAGCCAGGCCTTGTTTTATGAATTCCCGATTTGGTATTGAAAGTTGAGCCCATGGATTGAGATGGGTGATTGGGAATCATTTTGAAATGTGCCCTCTTTTTCTAGCAGATTCTGAACACAAACTCGAGGCAAGCTCAGGAAGACTGCTGGGAAAACTTAGAGGTATGCCTGTGACCTTTCAGAATCCTTCGTGTCTGGTTCAAAATCAACAAGCTGAAGCCTTTTGAAAAGCAAGGAGATATTTCTTATTTTCTCTCTGAAAATGTCACTCCTTGTGTGCAGCATAGCATCCCCCCAGCGTCCAATGCAGAGCGCAGATCATAAACTAAACCAACGCGTGTGGCTCTGGTGGCAGATTTCTCAGTTTTGGTCTACCTTGCCGTTCTGTGTTACCTAATCCTCTTCCCCTACCTTTTATGTGACTTCATTTGTCTTCAGTCCATTTCCTGTCACTCCTGTCGACATGTCAGAGCTTGTCATAGTGAAGATGACCTTTTCATAAAGCCATTGAAAAGAGCTGCTCGTGGGATGCCAATTCCCCCAGAGCCCAGAAAAAGCAGGAGGTGAAAAGTGAATCTGAAATAATCCTGCAGAAACACATAATCCTGGGGAGCTTTGTTTTTTTCTTACGTATTTTAATAAATGTGTGAAGTAGTGTCTTTCTGACTTTGTAGGATAAGTATCTCTGGAGGTCAATCATTTTTTCCCCTTTTTTTGCTAATATCTACCCTTTCCCACCCTCAACTTCTTTGGTTACCATTTAAGAATTTCCTAAGAAACTGAGAGTCATTTGTGCAAACTTGACCTCAATTCTGTGTTCTTGTTTGTTTTCTTCAGGAAAGGGAAGTGGAGGCTTAAACCTTGGAAATTTCTTTGCAAGTCGTAAAGGCTACAGTCGAAAAGGGTTCGACCGCCTTAGCACCGAGGGAAGTGACCAAGAGAAAGATGAAGATGACGGAAGTGAATCAGAAGAGGAGTATTCGGCTCCTCTGCCCGTACCCACAACTTCCTCATCCTGAAAGCTGGGCTTTGATTAGGCTGATAAGATTTACCAGGAATGCCCAATTCCTTTCCCTTTAGCACGTTAAGAGTTTTGTGTGTTTAATTGTAAACTGTACTACTCTATGTGGGATTATACACATTTTATTTACTTCATATGGTTTAGTTCGCTTCTGTTTCTAGTTGAGGTGTTTCCTAAACGTTCATAACAGTGCCATTGTCTTTATATGAACATAGACTAGAGAAACAGTCTTCTTCTTCCATCGCACTACTAACTTCATGATGGAAGGTTTGCTCATTCACATTTTTGAGACTTTTCTGTAGATGTAAATAACCCTATTTTCTGCTTGGACACAGTATTTTCCCAATAGCGCTTCCATTGCCAGTGTCTTTCTTTGGTGCCTTTCCTGTTCAGCATTCTCAGCCTGTGGCAGTAAAGAGAAACTCGATGCTACATGATGACAAAGCTGCTAAATCTCCTTCTATTTTTTTAAAATCACTAGCATTATATTGCAATGAGGGAAAGAAAAAAAAAAGTCTCTATTTAAATTCTTTTTGAATTTTCTTCTTCGGTTGGTGTGTTTTTGGGATGTCTTATTTTTAGATGGTTACACTGTTAGAACACTATTTTCAGAACCTGAATGTAATTTGTGTAATAAAGTGTTTTCAGAGCATTAGCTGTCAGAGTGTATTTTGCAGTTTTTGCACATTTGCAGGGTTTTGTATACAACTTTTGTAATAATTACACAAGTCACAGATATAGTGAAACCTACTCAATGTCTTCAACCAAAGGAAATGTGTTGTATTGTATTGAAATTAAAAAAAGATATTTTGTGATGTAGCCGATATAAATTAAAAAGTAGCCTAAGAGTTTACATACATGTGTAAAACCAGGCTCTCTTTTAAAATTCAAAGAGAGTTTTGCCCGTGTGTCGAGCATAAGGTCAATACTTCAATAAAAGGCGATCATAGCTAAGAGAAAAACTGTCTCAGATTACATTATCAAATGAATCCATCAGTGTAGGTAACTAATAGTTGTCTTTTTAAAGAATAATTTCCCTCAAATGCCCATGTATTCATAGAAATATTCATCTCGTACAATGACTACAAATTAATTTTAAAACATCTTTTTCATATTCCATCAATGCAATTTAGTAAGAAGCTGATAATTTTCTTTTTGAAATACTCAGGTTCTGGAACTCTTTAATTCAGGCATCTTAGCAGTTGTAATATTACAGATTTAATTGACTAATCATGAAAATAATGCAAGGCAACTTGCAAAACAATATGAAGTCTTCCAACTGTGTTATTTAGAAAATCTAACAACATAGATTTTTTTTCCTCTCATAACTGCTACCAAAGAGTATCTGATTGAATGATTTGTCACCTCCCAAAAGTTTACCTCACCTTCTTATTAAAACTTAACTTGGGCCCCCCTCCCATGTAGAAACTTCACCTTTTTTTTAATTTTTTATTCCTGTGATCTTCCTTCTCCAGTGAAGAATACATTTTTCCTCCCTCTGACCACTCCTTTGTGCCCCCCTTTTACCACATCAGTGGCAAATGTGTAAATAATGATTTTCTAATCCTATCATTTCAACTTCATTTATTAGCTGGCACTCTTCTGTAAATCATTGAGAGTCTTAACTGACTCACCCCCAGAGAGGTACTGGCAGCATCTACTTAAGAGCATAAAATAATCCCCTCATTTTATTTGTAACTAGTATGACATGTTCCCCAAATCCATGGTACAAATATGATCAAATACCTTTTATCTTCCTAGTTATTTGCTCAACTCTCTACGTTTCTTATTGGCAAAGAGCCAATTACCAGCCCCCCCCCTTTTTAAAGATTTTTATTGGGGAATTGGGGGATGGGAACAGCGCTGGGGAATTGGGGGAAGGGAACAGACAAGTTGCTGTCCTTTTGTTCTTCAGTCTAGTTGTGGAGGATGTTGCCCCACTGGCCCAAGTTGCCACCATCATTGCGCTCTTCCCTGGCGAAGCAGATCAGTCGCTGGCTTCTGGATGGCTGCTCACAGCGGCTGCTGGCTGCCAGCCACACAGGGTAGCCCATGGCAACCCACTGCAGCAGGGGCTGCAGCCTACACCGTCGCGGCGACTCACGGCAGCCCAGCTCCAGGTTGAACTGTTGTTCAGCATCTTAGCTGTAGAGGGCAGTGTCACCAGCCCTCATATGTGGGATCCGAACCAGGGCCCTCTGGCGTCCCAAGCCAGCTCCTAACCAACGTGCCACTCGGCCGGCCCCAATTACCAGCCTTTTGATGGTTGGCTTTGTCCTCCTTTTCTGGAATTGTCAGAAAAATTCCAGATGCGGAAAGAAAAATAGGGGGCGTGGAATCAGTAGATTTGCAGACTCCGCAGGGGCATACTCAAGTCTGATTCGTCCACGCTGCAATAGCTGTTTGCTGCCTCATGATGTCGCTGTTTAAGATTGTTCTCTATACTAGTCCTCAGGAAAGCTGTTGCTACTCTGGGGCCCGGAGTTTGCCCGAATTCAGACCGCTCTCCCACAGTGCTGTACTTGGCCTCTGAGGGCCGAAGCTTTTAGGGCTGGGCACTTCGTTTATGCTCACAGCCTCCTTCTTGGGTGCTTATAGGCCCAGGAGTCCTGGGTCAGGGCTGCTCCTCATATATGTGCCTTCTATCCCTCTTAATCCCTCAAAACTCACCTACTTCCATTAGCCTCCTTTTTTGTATTGTGGTAAGAAGTCTTAACTGAGCTCTACCTTAACATTTTAAGTGGACAATACGGTGTTGTTATCTATGGGCACAATATTATATAGCAGATCTCTAGAAATTCATCTTGCATCACTGAAATTTTACCTGCTGAATAGCAATTCCCTATTTCCCCTTTCCCCACCGCACCCCCCCCACACACACACACACACCAACCACAATTCTATTCTCTGCTTCTGTGAGTTTGACTATTTTAGGAACCTCATATAAGTGAAATCATTATGATTTCACTTGTGTCCTGTGACTGGCTTATTTCCCTTAGCATAATGTCCTCTGGGTTCATTTATGTTGTCATGTATGGCAGGATTTCCCTCTTTTTAAGGCTGAATAGTATTCCATTGTGTGTTAATACATTCTACATTTTCTTTATCCCGTCATCCATCAATGGACAGTTAGTTTCCATTTCTTAGCTGTTGTGAATAATCCATCAGCCTTCCTTGACCAGAGATGTGGCTGGCTGTTGGCTCTCTATCCCTTTCTAAGAGAGACTCCCTGTCATTTAATAAACACTTCTGTGTGTCTAGCAAGCAAAAAACTCTTAAGTTCTGAGAACACAGTGCTGAAAGACAATATCCCAGCTTTACTGGGACTTACATTCTAGTGGTGTATACATTTTTTCTCTCTTTTTTTCTTATTAAGAGACAAATAGAAATGTAATCCCTGGCTGGGTAGCCCATAACATACATGAATAGATTTTTTTAAATGAGGCCCACAAAAAGGAATGGACTAGTTATACTAATCCCAATGCTTCTTTGGGTTGATTTCATTTCTGGCACTTTGAGTTTTCAATTTATTTCCTCTTATATTTTTATATTTCCCAGACATCATAGAATTCACAGAAATCTTTAAGAGTTTCAAATTTCTGGAGCCTCGTTCTAAGTCTTGTTTGGCCTCCATTAAAAAAGAAGTGCTCCCTTCTTTATAAAGCAACCATAATTCTCACATCTCTAATAAAGTATGTCCCCGAGTAATCCAATAAAAATTAAATAAATTGAAAGTCAAAGGATTCATTCAACTGGCATTGATTGAGCTTCATGATGTATAAAATACAAAGATTAAAAAAGGCATAGTCTTGCCCTTGGGGGGGGTTTAATCTATCAAGGGAGCTAAAATAACCCTATAAATGATTGCAGTATAAAGCATAAGAGGAGCACATGCAAAATGCTATCAAACTACTGATTGAAGAGCACTGAGTTTTCCTAAAGGAAATATTTGATTGATATTTGTATTTGATCTTATCATACGTGTGTGTGTGTGTGTGTGTGTGTGTGTGTGTGTGTCTGTTTTACTGAGGTCTTCTAGTAAAAGTAAAAAAATATTTACTTTATTGAACAGGACAAAGAAAATAAATTATACTTGTAATATATGGACTAACTCAGGTTAGTCCAAATTCTTAGGAAATGGAGTGTTGTTCTTTATTTATAGGATAAAAGTCCTTTATCAGATATTTGATTTGCAAATATTTTATCCCAGTATGTGAGTTCTCTTTTCATTCTCTCAACCTCTTTCTCAAAGGGAAGTTTTTAATTTGGATGAAGTCAACATTTATTATATTTCTCAACAGTCATAAGGTTCTCAGAAATCTCTAAGAATTTCACTAAGGCTCTGAATTTTCTGTTTCAATTCAGAAAAGAGAGGTGAACACCAAGGAGACTTCATGTCCCAGGAGCCTGCTTAACTCTCCAACCTCATTTCACTCTTCAGCACCCTACCCTCACCCCCAACTCTCCCCACCTCTCTCACCCCAAGAGGCCTTCTTCAACTTATTTCAGAAATGGCCACGCCCTTACTGCCCTCCTAGCTCCTAGACATTTTTCCGGCTGCCTAGACAGACTTCCTCAAAGCACTCATCTCATTGAGCCGTGTACATTTGTAAAATAAGAGACAGTGAGAAAGCGTGAGATGCATGTATTGGCTTACTGACTCATAAAAATTCTAGAGTAAGAGGATCTAGGGGTGCAAAGGATAATGTCAGCTTTCTAACTTTCTGTCTCTCTCCCCCTCTCTCCCTCCCTCCCTCCCTCCCTTCCTCTCTCTCTTTCTCCCCCAATGCTGTTTTCCTCCATGTTGGTTTTATCCTCTAGAATGTTCTTTCCATGTGATATGCTATGAAAGATGTTTCTGGTAGGTGTCTTGAGAGAGATTTTCCTACTCTCCCCATATCTATATCAACCCCCCAAAGACATTCAGAAACACAAGAACAATAGTGTTTTCTTTTTCAGAAATGACAATGGATTTGCAAAGATTTATCCACTAATATTCTCTGGTAGTTCACTGTTTCATAGAGAGAAAGTTTTCCTTAAAACTCTAAAAAAAATTTTCCTCACATGCATCACATGGTCATTTCTGAGCTAATCCTTAGCAAAGGGAATGGGATTATTTTAGACCACTTAGGCCCATGCAGGAAGCTTGGGTGGGATCAATTTCCCCTAAGTTCCATGGTTCCACAAGAGAATTGTTAGACATGTAAATAAAATTGGATAGGAAGGAAGGATAGAGGAAATGCTGAGTAGGTAACCAACAATCCACTATAGGCTGGCTGTAGTCCATGTTTAGAGAATAAAATTTATCAACAGATACCTGCTGAGCTCCCAAACCTGAAGTCACTCACAATATAGAGGGGGAAAGAAAGCATAAATCCATTGTGTGAAGCTCAGTGATGTAAGCTGAGCCAGGCACCTGGCAAAGTTTGGAGTGAAGAATCCTAGAAGATACATGTTAATGTTCAAAATGACATTAGATAGAAAAACAAACAGAAGTTGTTGGTAGGGGAAAATTCTCTTTGCAAAATTCTCCAGTAGGTAGCTTTTCCAATAATTCTAAAGCCTTTATAAAAACCAAATATTGCATAGTTTTCTTAATGCTGTTGCTATTCTTCCAATAAGAATATAATTCCAGAATAAGGACAAGAAGTTAAT